TCCTGCTGGTTCATTCAAACACTTCCTGAAACAGAATTCTGTTGGTCCAGGGACCATCGGGGGAGTGTAACATAGACAGGGTGTCTGCTGGTCTTGAAAAGCATTGAATTTAGTTCTCAGCCTTAAGTCTGGTGTAGAATGTCTCGGTAGAAGAAGTACTCAAGTCTCTTTACTAAAGAAGAATTAGAAATACAACTGTGTAAAAATACTCTGTTGCAAGTAGAAGTCCTGCAGTCAGATTTTTACTTTTGTAAAAATACAAAAGTATTGGCATCAAAATATGCTTGAAGTACCAAAAGTACAGTAAAAGTACTTTGATGAAAACTGCAAAAACCCTGTGAATGACTCAAACCAAAGATTGATTATAATAAAGGATGACACGTCACCACTTCCTGCCACTATGCAGTAGTGAAGCCAAAATACCACAAATACTGTGGTGGCCATCTTGCTTTTGGGACTGGTTTTGCAACTAGAATCTGTGCAGTACCAACCCGAAGTGGAGCCATGGTGTCGGGCTGCCAATTAAAAGATGTCAGTCGTCCTAAATACACCCCTCTTTATATCATAAATGACTAATAGACACATGTACGAGGAAGATGACCACTTGTACACAAATCAGTCTGATAATACCTGCATATAATGACAGAAATCACAAAAATGTATTTATTACTAACTCCGTTAACATGGAGAGAGAGCAAGGTTTATGACCTATATTGCAACCAGCCACCAGGGGGCAGTTGACCTGCGTGGCTTCACATCATTCATCTTTAGGCACAGTCTGTGGGTGACGCTGATCGATGAATCGTTTTCAACTCAAAATCGTGATTTAACAGAATGAGATTTCCAAACTGAAAAGCCTCCAGTTTAAACTGTCTGTCAATGCTACCGATTGTAGATGGTCGGAGCAGCGTCCCCGCAGGCTTCACGTGAAACCTGCAGACTGAGTAAGGTGGACGAAGACACTGGTAAATAACTGCACAGATTGCTGCTTTCAGAAGAGGAGTGAAACCATGGCAACTGGTTTTGTTGGGCAGACTGAGATAAACACCTTTTATTTTGGAGGACGTTTTTCTTAATGACAACACTAATAAACATGTATTTAAGGTCATAACACTGCCACAGTGGAGAGCAGCGACAACTTGTCTGAAACCGGACTCAAGCCCAGGTCACCTGCATTAAAGTCCTCCACGTTGTCATCCAACACCCAAGTGGCGTGTCCTGCGACGTGGATGCCTAATTATCACCTGGCTTGATCTCTCGCCTGTGTCACAATCACTACTGCCACATGATTGTTAAGCATACCCGTGACCTTATGGCATGTGTTTACTGCTGTACTGTTTGGATTGCGTGTTCTCGTGTCATCGTTTTTGTCTCCTCCTTAATCCTCACTCCTAGCAATAAGAACTGTGGGACATTCTCCAAGATGGTGGACCAGAAATATTTCCCGGTTGGTCAGATATTAAGGAGTGAGGAATGATGAAATAAGAGAATTGAGGTTTATTCTATGGCACAAACAAACGCATAGCTCCTGTCTGCACTTTCTGGCTGATGATGTAATTTCCTGTGTCTTTAGGATCACTAGAGGCTCCCCCCTCGCTGGTGAACACCTCAGACGGTCGTCAACGGCAACCGAATTGGGGTTTCCTAGCAACACTCTTCCTCCGCTTCCTCCTTCCTTTTGTAGAGAAAAACTAGGGATTAACTGAAAATCACGAACTCTCTTCTTTCTGTTTTTAACCTTGCAAAGTTGATATTTTGTCAGGCAGATTTTTTTGGACTAGTCTCTGGTCTCACCACAGCGTAGACCTGGTTTTTCTTTTCATTTTATTTTTATCAAACTTGAATTTAAAGATGTATCAGTGTGGCTTTGAACAAAAGAATCCAGTATAATCTATATTTTGTCTAGTTTTATTTTCCCACAAGAAAACGGTATAAGGCTTAGCAGTCTTGAGTAAGAAAATCAGATTTATTATTATTATTATTATTTTGTTTGATAATGTTTTAAAGCATGCATCAGATTGTGTTGACTTTTTTTTTTAATTTTGACATTTTAATGAGTCAGATGAAAATGTAATGTTTTACTGTCGGAGACAAAACCTTTTTGTACTAAATCTTGGCTCGCTGGGTTTGTTTGTTCTTGATCTAATTTTACACGTTTGGTCGCCATCTTGGAGGTGCAATGACACGTTTATTTTCTTTTTGGTTTGATGATAGTTCTTGTTCCTGTATCTTTATGGTGATTCTTTAGTTTTTACGATATAATGATGAATAAATGACAATTTATATTGCGTTGCCTAAAGCCAGATCTCTCTGTGGTCACACACTTGGTGTCCTCCACAGGATTTAACCTGCAGTCGATACCACATTTCCCCACCTCAGCTTCATTACAGGAAGTGAGAAAAAAAACTATTTTCTGACACAGTGAAACATTATTATTGTTGTAATTTAGTTCTACATTTCTATTTTGCTGATTTGAAGTGTTAGGAGCTGAACAATGAAGTTATTGTTTCTATTAGCGATGAATTAGCTAAATGCACACATTAGCTAAACCATGTCTGTTAGCAAAAAGCTGCATGTTACCTCAGTTGTCTTACCTGAATGGTGGCTAATTGTTTCTGTTAGCTGTATGGTGTTTTTGTGTGTTAACTAAAAGTTAGTAATAAATGGGGTTGCTGAATTGTTTGTGTTAGAAGGGTTTTATTAGCTAAATGTGCAAGTTAACTGAACGATAACGCTTAGTCATATGATGTGTTGTGTTAGCTAAACTGTGTGAGTACTGAAAGCTAGCTTAACAGTTGGCTTTTTTTTTTTTTTTTAACTGAAAATGCGTTTCAAATTTTTGTTAGCTAAATGAATAGGGTGGCAGAATTGTTGTTGTTAGCTAGCTGGGGTGTGTTAGCTGGACATATAGCTGTTAGCTAAACGTGTGCTAACTTCGTATTGTCCTCTTGACAGTGCGTAGACAGTAATTAGTTGACAGAGTAAAACCCTTCATGTCAGCTTTTAGTGAAACCTGTTCTATGTCCTGTCAGGAACCAGTGGCAGAAATGCTCCAAAGAACTTTCACCGGCAGCAACACCGGAATATCAACACTAATCTGTTTTGCTAGTGCTGCAACTGATGATTATTTTTCGTCCAGTTTTAATCTTTTAATTATTTTCCATACTAACTGATCGGTCGTTTTGTTTATAAAATGTCAGATTTGTGAAAAAGTCCATTTCTTCAAATGGTTTGTTTTGTCTGAAATCCCGAACACATTCTGTTTATAATTTGTTTTATTATATCATTTGTGAAGCTGGAATATGTTTTCCATTTTCTAATTTTCTTATATAGATGTATCTTCACTTTTCTTTAGACTAATTGTTAAAATAACTAATCAAATTCTGCATGGTAAAACATTTACATAATCAAATTTTGCAACAAACTTAAAAAAATGTAAAAATGATTAAACAGCTACTGCAATTGAGGTTTAATTTATCTGTATAACAAATAGCGAAACATCATTAAATGTCAACATCCCCAAATTTTCCTTTTCTGCCGACAGGACATGGATAAATGTTTAAACACTGACGAGCTAGTGATTATTAGCAGAAGGGTTTGTGTTCTAGCTCAGCGTGCTGAATGTTTGTTAGCTGTGGGTCATGTATATGTGTTAAACTTGTGTGTTATTAGCTGAACTATGTGTGATGTTAGCTGTATGATGCGTGCATGTTAATGATGGTTTGTGCTTCTTGAATACACAGAAATTTTATAGTGTTTAATATTATATATTGCTGCCATCAGTCAGCAGTGAAGTCATCAGCAACTGTTTTGATAATTGGTTAAATCTGTTTCTGCAATTTTTAAAGAAAATATTTCAAATATGAATATTTATGTTGATTTAGTATTTTATGAAAGTAAATGCAGCATCTTTGGGTTTTGGAGTATTTGTTGGACAAAACAAGGCATTTGTGCTTTGGACATTTTTCACAATTTTCTGACATTATTAACCAAAACAACTAATTAATCAAGAAAATAATGTACATATTTATCTGATAAAAATGGTTATTAGTTGCAGAACTGCCAGTGGGTATTTATATGAACAAGGAAGTATTTTTTTGACTTTGTTGTGAGCCACCAAACACAATTTGTATGTTTGTTAGCTTGATTCATGCACACTGTTGATACTGTTGACCTCTTGCATAAATTCACAGAGGCACTTGCGTGTATTTTCCTAGAAGTGTAATTCCAACCTTGGCTGTGTGTTTGCTGACGTAGCGGGTTATCTGTCTGGCAATACTGTGTGTGTGTGTGTGCTGAGGTCGGATTATGCTGCTCAAACATGCACGTTGTTCTTTGAGACATTTGTGTAGCCTTTTTATACATGTATGAACATGAAAGTATTTGTTGCTTTTCCTTTGAATTCCCATTTCTGAGTCAGACTTTGGATCTGCTAATTAGCTTGTTCAACACATTTATGTTTAGAAGACTTGTTAGTCAAAGATGTTTTTGTATCTTCCTAGAGGTGTGAGTTCAGCCTGAACTGTACAGTATGTTTTAGAGCTATGTTACCTGTCTGGTGTGTGTGTTTGTGCAGTAGCTGAATGTCGTGTGCGTGTTAGCAGAACGTGCGTGTCGGACCACAGAGAGGTTTGTCTTATGTCGAGGGAGATCTGGCTGAATATCAAATCGGTGGTTCTGCTTCTTGTATGTGTGACGAGGATGACGATAATAACGATGACGATAATAATGAGTTCTCCTGTACAGGGGTCTATTTAAATCTCTTTATCCAGTTATGAATATTCAGTTTGTCGATGAGATAATATGGTGTGTGTAAATTTCCACTCTGCCGGGTGCTCCACAGTTAAAAATGTACTTTGTTATCCTGTTAAAAATGATATTGGTTAATTCACATGCTGTGTAACTGATTTGCAAAGAGAAGCTGAGTATGTGTTTTATTCTCAAGACTGCTAGGCTACCTGTCTCTTCTCGTCTGTCTGCCTGAACTTCGCCATGTTAAAATGCTGATGGGATCTGATATTTTTCAGCACGTCTGCACTCAGACCGTGTGATTACAAAAGCGTCGCACGGTGCACGTTGTGGTTGCAGGCGTGTTGAACAGTCCCGCAGCTCGTTAGCGTAGCAGCTCCGAGACGAGGAGAGCTGTAATGAGGGGCTTTAAACCCTGACAATTATTAAACCTGCTGGAATGGACAACTGCCTTGTGTACAGCCCCAGGTCCAGGCTTGGAGTGGAACCTAGTAACCACACTCAGCCTGCCAAGGCCCCGAACCAGAACTCGACACATTGCCCATCCACTACGGTTTCGATCTGTCCCAGCCCCACACCCCTCGTTCTGAAGGGGTGATGGGGAGCCTTTTGGTTTCATGGTTTCATGGTTTCTGTTGTTTTTCTAATGGACAGATGTCCTCAATGTAACCTGCAGATTTTTCTATTAGATTCTATTGACAGATAGAGCTGTGTGTGACCCCGAGCCACGAGGCTGTCCGTGGCTGAGGGAAGAGGAAGGTGGATGGTGGTGATGATGATGATTAACATGAGGGTTAATAAACAGGCTCATTCTTTCTGACTGACTTGTGTTTTTATCTCTGGATACAGAATCTCTTCCTGAACTGAGTCTTTGGTGTGTGACCTGCATTTAACAAAGCTGCTCAGGGCTACAGCCAAACTGCCCAGTCCTGGAAGACACTGCCCTGCAGGTCACGTGCAGCTCACTATTTGCAACATGCCAAAATGCCGCAAATGTCTCTTCAACAACGAGCTTCAGTATTTACCTTGTTCAGGTCACAGCACTAAGACAGAGTCTGAGCTAAAAGAAGTCTACTTCAGTTATCTAGAGTTGCTCCACCTGGTTAACTCAAGTCAGAGTTAATGTTGAGGAAGTCTTGAACCAGATCTCTTTGTGTTAGCGTGGACCAAAAGTAACAATTTGTACAAAATAAGAGCCTTCAGCTCACTGAACATGTTCTGGAGTGATATCACATAAAGAGTGAGTTTCCACTGGTGGAAGAATTATTCAGGTCCCTTAGTAAAAGTACTAATACTGTACCATACAGTATAAATACTCAAGGTCAAAGTGTTTATTTGTCATATGCACAGTTAGGAAACGTGTTTCCCTGTACAATGAAATTCTTACTTTGCCGTCCACATGAATGCCGCAAAATACAAATGAAATATAATGTAGATGAGCAATAACACATCTAAATAGGCAGTAACATCACAAATCTAAGGCACTTTAAAGCAGCAAGTGAAGGAAGTACATAAAAATACAAGAACAAGGAAATGTATCCAAGTACAATCAGTGTGGGTGTCCCTGTTACATTTTACTTTATCATTAAGGGGGAATTCTGCAGCTGTAGATGCCACAGGTGGAGCCAGTTTTACTGCACTGACTTGTAATTAATGGTTGTTATCTCCTGCAATCTAATGACTCTCTCGATGAATGGATAGGTTTGTAAAATAGTTACCCAGAGCCCAAGGTGGCACCTTCACAAAGTGTCCACTAGCTGGACGCAACATGACTTCAGTGTCATAATAGTTGCCAGTTGATTCCCTGAATTGCTCTGCTAGTCGATACTGTTGGGCCGTAAAACTAATGAACAAATGAGCATTTTGCTTTTGAGAAGGAGAGACAATGCAAAAGTAATAATAGATACCAAAACTCCTATTGTTTGAGAAAATGCTGCCGTTATTGTGACTTTGTTCACCTTGTAAATAGAAATTAAACAGCAGAGCATGAAAAAACATGGCGATGTCCCCAGAAGTCTGCGGCCCTGGATGATGCTACTGGCTGTTGTTTTAGTCCATCTGCACCAGGTAGGCTCTTTCCTGCAGGTGTTAATCTTTCTTTGCTGAGGACCGGTTTGTCCTGCAACTTCTTTCTTAAAGGTAAAAACACTGACGGTGTTTATTGATGCAGTTGTATTGTTTTTTTTTTTTTAATTCATTGTTTTCTTTAAACAAACATGTCGGTTCACAATGATTTTAGGAAAAACGTGAAGCCTCAAAGTTCAATCTTGTTTTTTACCTTTTTTAATTGCCTGAACCTTTTTGTCTGGCTAGCACAGCACACGGTGTACAGAGTCCTCCATCCAGTCTGTGACTCTTTTAGGCTTTGACTGTGACTCCAACTCGCCGACTCTGTGGCTCCTGCTCTCTGTTGCTCTAGCTGTGGTTCGTACTCTGAATCTGTAAGGCAGCATGTGTACACACATCTTTCTGTGGTTGTGTGGGCGGATTTTGGTCCCACACCTCCAAAGCTCTGTTCAGGGGTTCAGGTCAGAATCCAGTTTCGGTCACGGTCGGGGGCAGACATTTAGTTGTGATGGTTCAGGCTAGCGACAGGGCCAAGGGGATGCATTATGTCAGTGAGGGTCCTCACAGCTATAGCAAACAAACGTGTTTGTGTGCGGACTGACTCCAGGCCAGTGCGTCCGGTCCACCCTCAGTGCATCTCTCTATCCTGACATGAAGAGTGGGAGTTATCATTTATTCATGTTCCCAGAGCAGAGACAGATGGTCTGATTGAAGGTGTGATGTCATCTGTCATTAAGACATTACTGTAATCACACACATGCATGCACACACCTGCCGACCTCCAGGGACCGATGAAGCAGCCTGAGGCAGGGCCAGAGGAGCCGGCTGGCGGTAGAGGCCCACGGCTCCTCTGCACGGCTCCACCTCGTTTACACTGAT